TTCTGTCGCGCCAGCTGCCCCCGGTGTGAACGCAGCATTATACGAGCTGCTAAACGGTGCCATGGAATTGGAACATACGGAACCGGTTCTGAACAGGAACCGGTTTTCGATTCCCATCCCTAATTATTAACTGATTTTGGAGTAATCGGTCAGTCAGAGTGAAAGTTTGTTGCTACTCTTCCTCGCCCAGAACGCGACTCTGCTTCCTGGCCTGCATCCTGGGTTGTCAGGGTTTTGGAAGGCTAATGAATTTGGTCAGTTTCCTAGAAAAGGACAGCTGCACCATCTAAAGTGGGATGGATGCTGTCTCTCCAAATCAGACCAGGTTTTCCCCAAAAAGATTACCTATTATTAAAGTAGTCTATTTTGTTTTCAGCACACAACCTAGACAACCAGTTGAATGATGACTTGCGGCTAAACATGCCATTACTGGTCAGATCAGGAAGGGGACCAGAGAAAATTACAGAGTCTGACATTGTTTTGGCAAATTTACACACAGAAGCAACACTAATTTAAGCGACCTCTGATCATTGTAACTGGGTGTCATTACCGCCTGCATGAATGACAGTCTAACTGTATTTAACCTTATCCTTAACCAGCAGTTTCAGGTAGGATTTGATGTCGCCTGGTCTTGCCCCCAGCAAACATTTGACTATGATCCCTGGTGTCTCTAATGCCAGGTTTCTGACTATGGAGCTGCCAACTGCCAGAGTGGGCTTCGCAGTGGGTGCGTCACTGAATTGGGAAAATTGGTAGCGTGGGCGGGTTTTGAAGGGAGAGAACCACGGCTACACTTTCCTCATACAGATACACAATCGCCTGGCTGCTCAGCCACTGTTGGAGGACCACTATGTGGACATGTCCCTGATGTTGTCGGCTCTGGGCACTTAACAGAGGGCCTAGTTTAACTCCTGGATTTTTAACAGCCAGAAGACGGGGTTCTAACTCTAGCACATTCGCTTCCAAAGCTAGAAAAATAATTCATTACACATACCATTGTTACTAAAGGAGGGAGTTGAATAACTGAACATCTGACACAGAGAGCAGGAGAGAGGACAGGAAGGTTTCAAAGAGTTAGGGAATAGAAAGAGAGAGAGAGAGAAAAACCATAGCAATGCTAAGCTAGTGCTAGCCTAGGCTAGCTACCCCTCACTACCAGAAATAAAACCATGTTAAAGTGAAAGGTGCTCCATAGAAAGGGGCAGCAGTAGAAGCTATGTTTTAAAGTGCTTCTAGACATTTAGTTACTTAGATAGAGAGATATCACAGAAGAAACTAACTCAATTCAGACGGAGGTGGCCTGAACAGCACCAGAATGTAACTCAGCAGTCACAAGAGAAAGTGAAGACAATACGGCTCAGTAGTAACATCCTCTAGTGGCAGGGTGCTACTGCAGCATCAAAGGTGTTTATGAAAATACATATAAAGATTTCTACTGTAGCCATACTACCAGAGTATTACAGTACAGTACGGCCTCACACAAGATGTTTTACAAAGAATCATGTCCACGATTTAGACTGTAAATCAAGAAAATTTTAGCTAGAAACTCATATAAATAAAGGTAATTGAATTGAATCATTAGCTTTGTGATATTCTCTGGATGTCTGGAGGCTTTTACACATATTTCTGTAACAAATAAGACTAAGTACCTTTCTTTTCCCCCGATACCTGACTCTTTGACGAATGCTGGTGAAGATTCTCCGTCATCCGGGTCTAACTCAACTCAAACTCAACACTATTTGTGACATTTTGAATTGAAAAAGCTTCCTGGAAGAGAAGCGAAATGTCTTCAAAACTTGTTAAAAAAGTCGAGTGGATTGTTCTTTAACTTTTTTGGACTGACTCTTTGACCTTTAGGTTTTCCAGGAGCCCCAGGTCCCCCCGGACTCCCAGGACCAANCTGCTCAGCCACTGTTGGAGGACCACTATGTGGACATGTCCCTGATGTTGTCGGCTCTGGGCACTTAACAGAGGGCCTAGTTTAACTCCTGGATTTTTAACAGCCAGAAGACGGGGTTCTAACTCTAGCACATTCGCTTCCAAAGCTAGAAAAATAATTCATTACACATACCATTGTTACTAAAGGAGGGAGTTGAATAACTGAACATCTGACACAGAGAGCAGGAGAGAGGACAGGAAGGTTTCAAAGAGTTAGGGAATAGAAAGAGAGAGAGAGAGAAAAACCATAGCAATGCTAAGCTAGTGCTAGCCTAGGCTAGCTACCCCTCACTACCAGAAATAAAACCATGTTAAAGTGAAAGGTGCTCCATAGAAAGGGGCAGCAGTAGAAGCTATGTTTTAAAGTGCTTCTAGACATTTACTTACTTAGATAGAGAGATATCACAGAAGAAACTAACTCAATTCAGACGGAGGTGGCCTGAACAGCACCAGAATGTAACTCAGCAGTCACAAGAGAAAGTGAAGACAATACGGCTCAGTAGTAACATCCTCTAGTGGCAGGGTGCTACTGCAGCATCAAAGGTGTTTATGAAAATACATATAAAGATTTCTACTGTAGCCATACTACCAGAGTATTACAGTACAGTACGGCCTCACACAAGATGTTTTACAAAGAATCATGTCCACGATTTAGACTGTAAATCAAGAAAATTTTAGCTAGAAACTCATATAAATAAAGGTAATTGAATTGAATCATTAGCTTTGTGATATTCTCTGGATGTCTGGAGGCTTTTACACATATTTCTGTAACAAATAAGACTAAGTACCTTTCTTTTCCCCCGATACCTGACTCTTTGACGAATGCTGGTGAAGATTCTCCGTCATCCGGGTCTAACTCAACTCAAACTCAACACTATTTGTGACATTTTGAATTGAAAAAGCTTCCTGGAAGAGAAGCGAAATGTCTTCAAAACTTGTTAACAAAGTCGAGTGGATTGTTCTTTAACTTTTTTGGACTGACTCTTTGACCTTTAGGTTTTCCAGGAGCCCCAGGTCCCCCCGGACTCCCAGGACCAAGAGGAGATCATGCTTATGGTTGCCAGGGACCCCCAGGCCTGCCTGGACGACAGGGGTCTCCAGGGCATAAAGGAGTCCCTGGCTCCCCAGGGAATAAGGGAGGGCCAGGTATCTGAGATTAAGAGTTGTCTGTCTTCTCTCTATATTAAATCTGTACATAATATTGGGAATTACTTCAGGTTTCGTTTAATGGAAAAAATAAATTTGTTTATAAGATAAAAGAAAAAAAATACAATATTTACTTCATTTTACCTTTAAATGAAAATCCTATTCAATCAGCTAAAAACTGCTAATTTATGAGGAAATATCTATTATAAGCACAGTTTAAACCTACTGTTGTTTAAATTCATAAAATTTAGAAGAGGTGAATACTTTTACGTGTTCCATTAGGTGTCCCAGGCTCTCCTGGAGACCCTGGAGTAAAGGGACAGAAAGGAAATGAAGGGGCCAAAGGTCAAAGAGGCCTAAAAGGACTTTCACTGGACCAATGTGATGCTGGACCTTCTGGTGAAATTGGCTTCCGGGGACCTCCGGGACCTGAAGGACATCAAGGTAAACCTTTATTTACAAAGACCCATAGTTAAAATTGTATCTTGTTTTTTGTCCTGCAGTTATTTTTCTTATTTTACAATATTTACTTTTTTCTACTTTTCTCTTATACTAAAACATTAAGCTGATTATATTTTTAGGTTGTCCTGGTCCAAAAGGTCTCAAAGGGGACAATGGTTATTCACAGGCTGGTCGTAAAGGTGCGCTTGGAGAAAATGGAGTTCCAGGTTTTCCTGGTGTGCGGGGGCCACAGGGGCCACAAGGTCCTATTGGAAACGATGGCCAGCCAGGGCCCCTTGGTCAAAAAGGTAAGCTTCTACCACAGACACGATTGAGCTAGCATAATTCAGAAATAGGTACTTCACTGACACTGTGTTAGGTCTGATCGGGCCCCAGGGCTTTGAGGGACGAGCAGGAATTCCAGGGAAAAAAGGCTCCATTGGTCCCCAAGGGAGGACAGGAGAGATGGGCCTGAGGGGACAAGATGGACTTCCAGGTTATGTGGGTTCAAAGGGGCAAAAAGGTATTTCAATTACGACATTTGATTTCTATCTAAATAAAGCCAGCTAAGTTCATTGAGTCATTGACTGCAATACATGCTCCTTCTGGATGGGTATGTAGAGATAGTAGATGTTCCCTTGCACTTTTTCATTGACTCTACAGCAAGCCCTCACCCTGAGCATGCATTCAGGGACAGTGGAAAGGAAAAACTCCCTTTTAACAGGAAGAAACCTCTAATATAATCGAAGGTGTTCATTGCAATAGGTATAAAGAGATTTCTACTGTTGCAATACTACCAAAGAGTTTACAATACAGTACTGCCTCGCACAAGAAGCTCTACAATCATGTTCATGTTTTAGATTGCAGTATTATAAGTACTTTGCTGCTACAGATACTGCTGCAGTACACACATTTTTTCTTTTAGGTTGTTTAGGCAACCCAGGTCCTCCAGGGGATTGCAAAAGCATTCCCATAAACGGCCCACCAGGACCACAGGGACTGCCTGGCAGCATCGGATTTCCCGGACCACGAGGTTAGATCTTCATTACAGCAGAATAGTCTGCCTTATGTTTGTCAAAAATAACTTGGATAAAATAAGACAAGACAAGAAAGGAGGAAGGCCTACTGGTGGACCTGTCAGCTGTACAGGTCTGCTGGTGGACCTGTCAGCTGTACAGGTCTGCTGGTGGACCTGTCAGCTGTACAGGTCTGCTGGTGGACCTGTTTCCTGTACAGTACATTGTGCATTGCCATTTACTTTAGGAACAACTACCTGAAATCNGCCGGTGGACCTGTACAAGTGTCTAATAAGACAGAAGTTGCCAAAAAGGTGTAGGTGTAATAAATACTGATATGAACAGTTTTATGTAAAACATGAATGTAAACTACTTCCCTCACACATTTTAAACATTTTATACATGCAGATCTACTGTAACACCATAAGGGCCCAGAAATGTCACAAGCATGAGTTCATTCTCCTTCTCTGCACTTTATTGCTTTTTATGCGCCTGTAAATTCTCTTCTACTCTTGTTTGGATGTCATGTCAACTTTTGTCACTTTGCGAGTGGGACCAACCTGAGAAAGTAAACCACCTGTAATTTGCTGCTTTTCAGTTAATCCTGGAACTTGAGACAAGATTGTTTTATTAGCAAAGCATCATCAATTGAATGGCATTTTAAATAAAACTGCTTCCTTCAGTATTTGTTACATATGTGCCTTATTGGCAGAATTCTAACTTTGTAAAAAATGTTTTATACAATCCGTCTTAGTACTAAGTAATTGCAAAGCAGAGATTTAAAGACTAATCTTAAATCAATCTTAATCAAACAAACATTTGAATCCTACTGCCCCAGATAAAACCAATTATAGGAGTATTTATTTCATGTTTGCACTTTTGTTCTATGTTAATAGTTGGCTGATGAGCTGTATTGCTCTGATGTTCATTGTACATTGCCATTTACTTTAGGAACAACTACCTGAAATCCTAAAATCCCTCATAATCTATGCAAAAAAAAAAAGCTCATACCATTGAGACACTTTAGCATTATGCACATGGAGTACATGGCAAAGGTTTGATTATTCATATCCGACTTATTAGCACCGGCCTCATTCTGCATACCTATAACTGTGCTTTCCACCTTGTTTTTAACCAGGTTATAAAGGTTTTCGGGGTACTGATGGAAGGCCTGGATTTCCAGGCTCAAATGGACCTCCAGGTATTAGGGGATCCCAGGGTCCCAAAGGGCCACTAGGCAAAAAAGGGCTACCTGGATCCCCTGGATGTAAAGGACATATGGGATACAGCGGCTTCCCCGGGCAGAATGGAGAACCGGTAATATATGTGTAGTTATCTGATAGCAAAAGCTAAAAGGGGACACCTGTGTCTGATATCAGGGTGAGGTGACTGCCTTCAGAATTGAGGTGCTGCAAACGCCAGAAAAACAGACATTTTTTTCTTGTTCTCCAGGTTGCAAGAACAACAAAGGACTTTGTTTTGAATCTGTACTCCAGAAGCTTAGCTGCCAAAGTCTGCCCCTCATTAGCAAACATCACTAAAGAACGATTCAGGGAACAGGCGAACGTAAAGTAGCGGAAAGACATAAGAGCTCAGAATGTGCTCTGGTGCTATTTAGAAAAACTGTAAACATCAGTAGAGAGTTGTGCTATGGCGGTAGCTACTCGATGAGGAGAATTTGGTGAGGAAATGCTGCAAGTGACTAGAAAAGTGTTAGACCACTCAAGCCACCAGAGTTGAGCTGCGCTACAACAGTGTTAAGTTAGAAAGATACATCAGCCATTTTTGCAGCCATTATTGCTTTTCCAGCATAAAAACCCCCATCTAAATCCTGTCCAATCACATTGCAGATGTTGGACATCTACAGTACGTCAATGAAAGTTCTGCCCAGACATTGTCTCGAGAACAACAAGCGAGTCACCCTGATGCACTGATTTGATTTCATTTATACAAGAGACTGTCCATCCATCCAATTTCCTTCATCATCCTGTTGTTACTCTGTCATGGTTAGAAGATGACTGAACAAGAGCAACTACAGAGGCGGGTTGTAGGTTAAAAGGTTTATTGAAAAGGATTGTGGGTCTCTACAAGAAGCCGTGTGGTCTGGTCTGGTTCTTCTGGGCTTCTGCTGAGAAGATGAGGAGACTGGTGAATGAATGGTAACAGTTGCTGGAGGATTGTGCTGGGCTGATAACTCAGTACAGAGAGGCTGGGGTCCGATCTGGGGGGGAGTGTCTCCAGTGGTCCGAGTGCTGGTCCAGTACTCTCTCCCTGGTTGATGGTTCGAGGGTGGATAGGCAGGTGAGCGCAGGCAGATGGGCTGAGTGATGGATCAGTTGCGTTCTGACGGGGATCCAAGGTCTGTGGTTCCAGGCTGGGTTTCAGGGTCTGAGTCCAAGGATCTGGAAAGAAGGTGCACGAGCAGAGTTTAGACAAAGGTTTGAGTCATAGGAATAGGACAAGGTTTGGTCTGTACCAATGCTGAGGCGTTAACAAACTGACGCCCTCCTCCTGGTTCCAGCTCCTTAAGAAGGGTGGTAATCAGCTCAGATGTAGTGCACCTGCCCGTCCATATCTAGAATATCTAGAGTCTCAACATATAGTTCAGGGTCCACTATAAGGCAAACTGATTTGTTTGTGTCCTTTATTTCTGTTAAACAAGCATTTAATTTTGTTCAAATAATTAAGATGTGTGTGGTGTAAAATAAATTCATATTATTTGTGTTTATAGGGAGACCCAGGATGTCCTGGAAACCCTGGAAATCCTGGTAATTCAGGATATCCTGGACCTAAAGGTACCTGGAGACTGCTTTGCCGTGACTCAGAACAGTTTATTTAAATTTAAGCAAGATGTGAATTATTAGTTTTTTATCCCACCTCTGAAATAAAGCAACTTTTCATGTTTATGCTGCTTGTTGTTTAACATGTTTTTCTTCCTTTTAGGTGATATAGGGGAGTCTATTGGTGTTCATGGTCCACCTGGGGATAAGGGACATTCTGGAAACATTGGATGTTCTGGTAACAATAATCTACTTTAATGATAATTTTGGTTCTTTAGGAAATATGTCAAAAAGACTCCTAATCTGTATTTGGTGCCTCCAGATTTGTAGCATTATGATATCAAGTTAAGGCTGCTGTCTGCCATTAAAACAGCTTTATATTGCAGGCTAGACCCTCCAAATGGTTAAATAACAACAGCTGTTTTATTTATGTTTTTTTCAGACATTTTAAAATTATTTTTGGTGATATTGGTGTGGTCAGCTAACAGGTTTAACTACTGATATTTACCTTGCAGGCCCCCCTGGCCCTCCAGGACAATCAGGACCTCCGGGCACTGATGGGGCCCCAGGACCAAAAGGATGCAAAGGACACAAAGGGTTTCCAGGAAGAACTGGTGAATCAGGTACAAATTAAAATCTAAATTGGTGATAGTAGTGAAACCAAGAGGAACTTGGTTGAGGCTTACTTATTCAGAGAGTTTGTCTTTTCTTTAGGGGTGGTTGGTCCTCCAGGTTGCAGAGGTCGGCAGGGGCCTCCAGGTTTTCCAGGTGCACCAGGAGCTAAAGGTGTTCAAGGACAAGATGGTTACACAGGACACAAAGGTAACAAATATTAAGTTTCCAACATAAAGTCAAAAATAAAAAAAACTGTGTAGTGGTTTTCCCCTTCCTCTCCCTGTTAGGGTTGGAATGGCTGCTATAACCCTCCACCATGAACCAGAAGGAACAACTTCATGAGACGATTTTTTCAAAGATTTAAAATAGCTATTGGAGCAATAAACCAGAGGATAGTAAATAATTTAGTTATTTGAATTTCAGTTCTGACCAATTAATCTTCCCTTCAATTTATTCTAATGCAAACCAATCGTCTAAAAACATTTAAATCTTGATTAAAATCAAAGAAATTCACCCCAAATCTTAATAGTTTGTTTTATGTAAGTAACTTTTACTCTTATCTCAAGGATTTAATTATAAATCTATGTGAAACATTGAGAAAGATGGCTTGATTTTCTTCTGTTTGGCTCATGTTAGCAACTGTCTTCTAAAGGTAAAATGGCAGTGGACAGGAAACAGAGCCCTGTAGAACACCAAGGCCAGAATAATTGTTTCCACTGGTTGGATGTGTTCTTACTTTAAATAAGTTTCTCCTCAGGAGCTCAAGGGCCACCAGGGCTTCATGGACTGGATGGGCTAAGTGGACGGAAAGGGGCCATGGGGATGAAAGGTATGAGGACCACAAAAAAAATTAAAACATTCTAGAAAGACAAATAAAAGAATAGAAATAATCATGGTCACTATTCCAATGTGCTGGATGTTGTATGAATGTTGGCATTAAAAAAGCTCTAGAAAGCAACCAAAGCTACACTGGAAGAAACATGAGGTGTGTCGATTGAAAGTTATCAATTTTTAGAAATCCCACCGATAAAGGTTCTAGAATTACGTAAAAACGTAGAGTTTATTCACCAAATATGGACCCAGACATTGTTCCAGTTCAAATTCTGTCCAGAACTTTGATTATACATAATAAAACATTTTACTGTTTTATCTAAGACTTTGTGTCTTATACAGGAGCTCTAGACGCTGCACACTGGCCAGATGTAATATGTATTGCTCTACGTTAGCTACAGGATAATCTGTGGTTTTACAGAATTTCCCTCAAATATTTGTTACCCTTAGGTCTGTGTGAGGGTGGTAATGGGGGTGAAAGAGGTCCTCCAGGACCTGCAGGTCCCCCAGGTCCTCCAGGTCCCCCTGGTACCTCGCAGAATGGACCAAGAGGACCCCCAGGTCCACAGGGACCCAGAGGTTTGCATTACTTGTCTTTTGAATAATAATAACAGTTTTTTTCCTAAACAAATCTGAAAGAATCAACTGTGTCTTTTCTTACAGGGCCTCTAGGTGGTTATGGACCACCAGGTCCACCTGGAGATGACTGTAGAAACCCAAATCCAGGGCCGCCTGGGGATCCTGGTGCAGAGGGCCCGAAAGGAGACCCAGGTCAATCATAATGCTTTTCTGGTTTTATAACGAGGATTAAATGACATTTCATCTGAAGCGACACTCACATGGAAGTATTTTTTTAGGTAACCATGGTGACCAAGGAGACCCAGGCCCAAGCTTTCCATTTCCTGGGGACATGGGAGACAATGGATGGCCGGGATACCAGGGTCCAAAAGGACCACAAGGATTTCCGGGGCCAGCAGGACCAAAAGGCAACCCTGGAAATCAAGGCTGTAAAGGTCAGACTCGGTCCTTTTTCTGAATTCAAACTCCTTATATCCAAAACCATCAACATGGAAATTCTTATGCTGACACTGGTGCTACAGATGGATACATACAGTAGTTAAGGCTAAACGGACATATCGTATAGAAAAGCGAGAGGACTTTAAAAGATTTAGACGTTTAATTAAAGAGGATGTTGAAGCTGTATAACTATAACTGATGCTTAGTTTTGGATTCTTTACTGCTGTTTTGGGCACTGAGGAGATGAATGTGAAGATCCATTTTGGATTTCAGCTGTGATATAAAGACTTTATCGAGGTCGGTGACATGCAGAGACATCAGGAGCACAGGGACATATCCTGGTGACCTGGCAATGGCCTGGTCCACTTGATCTGGCGTTATGTGGGAGTTGCAGCCTAGTGGTTAGGGAATAGAGCTTGGAATCCTGAGGTTCTGAGTTTGAGCCCCACTCCCACAGACCTTATATGTTTTTTTACAGTGTTGTATAGTGACGAAGTAAAAATACTTCACTAATGTACTTAAGTACATTTTGGAGTACTTTATATTTTCCAAGAGTATACATTTTTTTGAGAACTTTCACTCTTTACGAACTTATTTGCATACTTTTACTGTGATACATTTGCAATGTTTGGTTTAGTTACCCGTACTAAGTAAAAAAAAAAAGAAAAAAAAAAACGAGCGAGAGAAACGCAAGTGTTTTGACCCCACCTACTGACTACAAAGTCGGGTCTTGCCTGGGCTTTTCCATCAACACCAATAGGATACGCCTGTTTCGCAAAGCCAGTCTAAATTTATCCTACACTTGGTTGTTTATATTATTTTAAGTGAATTTAACCTTCAAAGTTTACCAAAATGTAAAAATGTGTTATTCAAACTACCTTACTTTTTACTTATACTTTTAGTTTACAGTAATTCTTATACGTAAGTTCAAGCCATTTCAGATACTTTAAGACTTTTACTCAAGTAACATTTCAGTCAGTGACTTGGACTTTTACCAAAGTCATATTTTGGAGAGATACTTATACTTTTACTTGACTCCGAGATTTCAGTACTTTATACAACACTGCTTTTTTTAAGTTTACTTGGGCGCTGCACAATGGCAGCCCACTGCTCCCCAAGAAGACGGGTTAAATGCAGAGGTGAATGTCTTCAATGTAAGATAAATTCGTGAGATAAACTTTAGGGGAGTTGCGGCCTAGTAGTTAGGACATAGGACTTGGAATCCTGAGGTTCTGAGTTCAAGCCCCACTCCCACACACTGGCTCTCTGAGCAAAGACCCTCAACCCCTGATTGCTCCTCTGGCACCACTGCTCCCCAAAGGGGATGGGTTAAATGCAGAGAGTTAATTTCTCCATTGTGAGATCAATTAAGTTCAATTTATATTTTCATTTATATTATAAATAAACTGAATTGAAATTAATTAATCAACATTGGCCAAGAATTGGGCAATTTAAAAATTACAGTTTTGCTGCAGCAAAAAAGCGAGAGGCTGTACAGCAAAAAAATAAATTACCTGAGTGCTCCTCCACTCAAAGAGAGCAGTGCGCTTTCTCTGCACTCGTATCAGATTATATTGTGTCCCACTATGCTTCATGCTGACATGCAGGCTGTACTGGGGCTCATAAACACAGAAGTTAATATTTGTATTAAACTAGTTTGTAAAATACTCCAACTTATGTACTCTGTTGTTCTGGAGTTTTTAAATGCTGCAGCATCGCTGCTTAAATCTAGTTTATTGCCTTGTTCTGAGTGGAGGATTAATTTTTCAGCAGCTTGTAAATATAAAAAAAAAAAAACTCAATTTCTAAGGTGTTTTTGTTAATGAGTCCTTTAAACATATGCCGAGATGAAATGTTAATGACAAAAGCAGGAGCGACTCCACCGTTACATCCCTGTGATAGAGGTTACCTACTTTTGCCTCATTCAGAGCACCTAATTGGGTAGTTTTTATTTTGATTTTGAGGGTGAAAATTGCTTTGGTGAATAGAATTTGGGCTGGTTCAATTCAATTCAGTTTATTTCTATAGCACCAATTCACAACACACGTCATTTCAAGGCACTTTACAGTTCAACCAGATCATACAGTCAAATTGATTCAAAGTTTTCTATCTAAGGAAAACCAGTTGATTGCATCAACTCATTGACTCCAAGGCAATCCCTCACACTAAGCATGCTTGTAGCGACAGTGGAGAGGAAAACCTCCCTTTTAACAGGAAAAAACGTCCAGCAGAACCAGGCTCAGTGTGAGCGGCCATCTGCAGAGGCCGACTGGGGTTCAAGGAAGCAGACATAGAAAATGAAGCAGAGATACAACATACTTTAGATCAGCTTCATCCAGGAAACACACAGCCAGCCAGAGGAGCTCCGAGCCAACTCCCATGTCAGAGGATGAAGAGAGCACATCCAGCCAGTCACAGCCAGAGAAACAGGACTACACTGAAAAACAGGCTGATCTCCAACATCTACAGACAAAGGTGTTGATGGCAGCAACACAGCTGATATTTCCCTCCAGGATGGTGTAGCCATGGCCGTCGTATTGGGGGAAGAGTTAGGGTGGGGCAAAAGTATAAGAAAAGATTAGTCCAGCTATATTTTTCAAATATAAAAAGAAAATCCAGCAGGAAAATAAATAAACCATATGTTCTCCCTCATTTTTTCAGCAGGAAACAGTAAAATTAAGCATAAATATATTGACAGCCCCCCCCTCCCATGAAATTACGCTAAATGGTTTGATGCTTCTTGAATCACATCAGGTCTCTCCGTCTGTCACCAGTTCGCTTATACCGGGGCTTAAATCCCACGAGCACGTCATTTGACATAGTGATAACGAAAGAAAGAAATTAACATGAGAAGGTGTAAATAAGCAGCAGTGTGGTAAAAACGTCCACGGCTAAAAATATCCAGGGCACCACAGTCTGGGTTTCAAAAAGGAACGGAAAGGGAGAAGGCATCCGATACCGCTACCGATACCGGTTCGGAATCAGATCGGGGGTTTTTGAGTTAACCTATTATAAACAGATGTCCACCAATCATTCATCATTACTGGTTCATCCCCGCCACTGTGTATACACTGTGTATACAAAATGACAATAAAAGTTGTCTAAGTCATTGAGGTGAAGGTGATTGTGTTCACACCAGTGAGTGAGGTGACTGATGGTTGCTTCATCACTCAGAACAATTCTCATCTGTATAGAGAGCAAGGATGGCTCTTATAGATTTATTAAAAATGGTGATAGGAGATGGACTGACACAGTCATTGGTGTAAACTTTACACTGTAAAGTATATACGGCAAGCGTCTCAGGACACAACCGTTAACAACTGCAGTGTTCGTGGGGAGTTCTGGTGATGTGGTTAAGCCTTTTCATGCAGCTTGTATTAAGAAAATTATGAATATGTTACATCAGCCAAAACTGTAAGATATAGCCCTCTCTTCCTAATGGTTAAATGAATGTAAAAGTTTGATTGTCTGTTCAGGAATGAGAGGAGATCCAGGGACAATGGGACAACCTGGACATAAAGGTGTGCAGGGTCCCTATGGATCCCGAGGGGCCAAAGGAAGGAAGGGGGAGAAAGGACGAGAGGGTTTAAAGGGGGAGCCGGGACGAATCTTGCCATATGAATATCCACCAATACTTGAAGGGCCTGAAGGACCACCAGGTCCCCCTGGTGCTAAAGGAGAACAGGGCCTGATGGGAGACCCTGGTCCAAAAGGGTTGAATGGTGAGAAATTGTATTTAATCGGAAATACTGGTTGGTCCAGCTTGGGTTGCGTCTTATGTTCTTGTTGGATGGTAATGTGTTGTAGGGGTGAAGGGGAATCGGGGGGAAGATGGATCCCTGGGTTCTGGGGGTCCAAAAGGCGACCCAGGAGCCACTGGAAGACCAGGTCTACCAGGAGAGAACGGAGTGTTGGGAGAAAAAGGTAAGACCAGGAAATATTCTTACATTTATATCCTTCTGCAAGTTTACCTTCTTTTAATAATCATTAATATGAGATGTAAGATATGTGAAACTCATGTTTTACATATAAGAAACACATGTAATACATGTTTCGCCTTTTGCTTGAAGACTATATGAAGGGAATTCCACAATTAACTTTTAAAAACATTATAATCTTCATCAAAGTTTCCTAAACTTCTGCATGAGGTTTGCATGTCTGTTTCATTGCTGTGGTCTTCTTCAAGATTAAATACAGTGGGGCAAAAAAGTATTTAGTCAGCCACCAATAGTGCAAGTTCTCCCACTCAAAAAGATGAGAGAGGCCGGTAATTTTCATCATAGATATACCTCAACTATGAGAGACAAAATGAGGGAAAAAAAAATCCAAAAAAATCACATTGTCTGATTTTTAAATAATTTATTTGCAAAATATGGTGGAAAATAAGCATTTGGTCAATAACAAAAGTTCATCTCAATACCGGTACTTTGTTTTATACCCTTTGTTGGCAATGACAGAGATCAAACGTTTTCTGTAAGTCTTCACAAGGTTTTCACACACTGTTGCTGGTATTTTGGCCCATTCCTCCATGCAGATCTCCTCTAGAGCAGTGATGTTCTGGGGCTGTCGCTCGGCAACACGGACTTTCAACTCCCTCCAAAGATTTTCTATGAGGTTGAGATCTGGGGACTGGCTAGGCCACTCCAGGACCTTGAAATGCTTCTTACAAAGCCACTCCTTCGTTACCCGGGCGGTGTGTTTGGGATCATTGTCATGCTGAAAGACCCAGCCACGTTTCATCTTCAATGTCCTTGCTGATGGAAGGAGGTTTTCACTCAAAATTTGACGATACATGGCCCCATTCATTCTTTCCTTCACACGGATCAGTCGTCCTGGTCCCTTAGCAGAAAAACAGCCCCAAAGCATGATGTTTCCACCCCCATGCTTCACTGTAGGTATGGTGTTCTTTGGATGCAAACCAATCATTCTCTCTCCTCCAAACACGACGAGTAGATTTTTTACCAAAAAGTTCTATTTTGGTTTCATCTGACCATATGATATTGCACTTGCACTATTGGTGGCTGACTAGATACTTTTTTGCCCCACTGTAATAATAAATTGCTTTTCAGTTATCTGTACTAAAACACATTTTTGTAGGAAATTTTTTTATGAATTGAAAATTCTGCCAAATTTCAATTATTGGGCTTTATAAGGAACATTAGCATAGGTACAGCAGCAGCTTTTCAAGGCTTCACTACATTCTCTCTCTCTTTCTTTCTCACAACTTTTTTGTTTTCTAAGGCGTCCTTTAGGCGTAACACATCACTGATGTAACTTCCTGCCCTGCTCTTTGTGCCTACAGGTTTTCCGGGTCCGCCGGGGGACCGAGGTAAACCTGGACAGACCCCAGACGTAACAATGGGGTTCCTGCTGGTAAAGCACAGCCAAAAAAAGGAGCCTCCAAGTTGCCCACCAAACATGCAGCAGCTTTGGATTGGATACAGTCTGCTGTACATGGAGGGCCAGGAGAGGGCTTACTCCCAGGATCTAGGTATAGGCATTTATTCAATCACTGTGAAATACTTCTAAGATGTGGAATTAAACAAATACATTTTACATATGTCTTCCCTATTCAGAAGTAGCCATTCAAAATGTCCCAACTTGATGGGCCCTTGGCTGGTCCTTGGCTAGTCCCCTACAATTCCTTTTTAAACATCTAGAATATTCTTTCTGTCAGGGTTTCTTGACATTAAGATCTAAAAAGAAGCGTCATCTCTTGGTTAGAGCCTGTAATTCAGTGAAAGGGCGTAAAACATATGCACACCCATGAGAAGGCCAGTGGCTGGAAGTTAGAGGGGATTCGGGTGGCTTTTGACTGGGAAGGGCCATTTTGAATGGCTGCTACTGTAAATGTTCTCATTAATCAGGTTTTCTTCATGTCTACATTAGGAGAAGGAGAGTAAGGAACTGTAGCAGGAGGGTGGTTCTAAACTCTGATGTTCTAGAAGCTGAAGGGTTTTTATTCCAGAAACTGTTTGGTTTTAAAGAGTAGTGGGATAAATGTGATAAAGTCAAGTCCAGCCGGTCTTAAGTTCGTCTGCTTCCTGTTTCTAGGTCAGGCTGGATCCTGTGTTCGTATTTTCTCCACCATGCCGTTCTCCGTATGTGGTACCAAACAATGCCAGTACGCAGGCCGAAACGACAAAGCCTATTGGCTGTCAACGATGGAGAGGGCTCCTAATAGACCATTTAATGGAATCGCCATTGAGAACCACATCAGTCGCTGTGTTGTGTGTGAAGCGCCCTCTGCTCCTGTGGCTATGCACGATTCCAACTCCAAGGAACCGCCAAGCTGTCCCCCCAATTGGACATCTCTGTGGACAGGATATTCCTTCATTATGGTGAGTTCTGCCCAGCCAGAGCGTTGCAGACTAGAACTCAAATAAAAAAGGAGTGATTGCCTTGTAAACTATCGTTCTCTTCACAAAGGTAGGAATTCTTTATTCAATTTTAAAAGCATTGATGAGATTAAATAAAAACTCCAGTTTATTTTCACATAGTTGAGCAAAGTCCAAGATCCAGCAAAAGCAGGATCCAGTCGCAATCAATAGGCTCCTGAAATGTCCCGAACAAGTCAAAGCCTGGATGGGTTTAAATGTTTTAAGTTTCAGAAAATGTTTAAAAGACCACTAAGGTCATACCTTTATGTTCAAGAGGACAGAAAAAGGATAAAGTAAATAATTATACTCTTCGAGCCTAAAAAAAAAATCAAAACAACAAGGGACGAGTCAGGAAAGGGCATTGTATCACTCTCCTTTCTATATGAAAGAAAAAAATATTTAAACAAATTTATGTGGAAAAAGCCTCTCTATGCGCAAAAAAACAGATGCAACTGAGTATGACCTGGGAGTAAGGAAAATAGTTTAACACCAGGATGCATACACCTGCATAAGGTTAATAGAGTTTCTTCAGCAGGAAAATGTGCTCAATGGCGGATGTGGGGGGCCAAAGACCCATCCCAAACTTAAACAGAGGAGACCTGAGCTCAGAGTACAGGGACACATGGAGAGCAGACTGTAGTTGGGTTCTAGATGAGGTCTGAATATCTGTAGTCCTCTATTATCCTACTTTTGTCTAACCTCACTTTTCAGCAACAATCTCCAGCTTATTGTTGGGACCCCAAGAAGGTACTAGATGTTTGGTCTAGTGTTGCACCGATACCAGTAACAGGCGGGGCCCTGATCCAGCAGTAAAATGGTGGTATCGGCCTGTACCAACAAATAGGGCACTGATTCCATTTTGAGATTTTCTAACACAAAGTTTATTCAACTATTGTCACCCATTCATGGTAGACAATAAAAATTTCTATTGGATTCACTTTGTATTAATCTTTTTCCTGCTTCACAAAGGTAGTCAGCAGCTTGACGATGATGGCAATTATTTTACATCCAAGTAGTATCTAGTTCTTCATATATACACACAAATCAATTTCAAACAGATGGTATCGGTATCGGCCAATACTGCTTAGCCAGGTATCGGGTATCAGGGCCAAAAAATGGCATTGGCGCAACGCTAGTTTTGTCTGGCCTGAGAATGGCCTAACAAAACTGAGTCTTCTCTGTGATTTCCTCCTAGTGAGACATGCCTCAGGATCTGCCCGAAACAGAGATGAGATCATGAGGTTCTTCAACCAGACACCGCAACAACAGCCCAGTTAAAGCGTGAATAAAGCAGGGTTAATTCATTGGCATTAGTCAGCTATAAAGTTAAAATGATAAACGCTGTTAATATAAATAGAAAATACTTCTCTTAGCAATGTTTTGTGTGACTTCAGACTGAAAAAAAAAATAAAAGTAAGAAAGGGTATTTAACATTGATAGTTAATAGTAGAGTGGAAGGACGAATGAGTTTCGTTAAGGAGTACGTTGCGTTAAAATACTTATTCCCTTTATTAGAAAAACTATGTAGGAGGAATGTGGCAGCAGTCGTAGGAGGTCCTGACCAACATCCTGTTCTGTGTATGTTCATAGTTTACAGGTGGAGGTGATGAGGGAGGCGGCCTCTCGCTGATGTCCCCTGGCAGCTGTCTGAAAGAGTTCAAAGCTCAGCCCTTCGTAGAGTGTCAGGGAGCTCGGGGAACCTGCCACTTCTTCGCCAACGTCTACAGCTTCTGGTTGACCACCTTCAAAGGCACCAACACTGCACTGACCGACTCTGAGCAGCAGAGGGAGCATGTTGCTCAGTGTCGAGTCTGCATAAAGATGTGAGGGAGAGCAGGATGGTGGTGCCCCTCTTCTTCAGGAGGGATCCAAGGGACGCTCGCTGCACCTCTCTTTTATTGAGAGAGTTTGGGGACAAAAACTGAAAGAGATTTTAGTTTTGATGAGGAGAAACCTTGATGGTAGAGGTAAGAGCTGCCAATCAGCTGATCAGAAGAGGCTTGGGAAAAAAACTCAGCTGAGGTTTGAAGCAGTGGGATGTCTCTCTTTATAGCAAAGTGTATTTTTTTCAGAACTGGAGCAGTTAATAAGAAAAAACTAGGTTTCTAATTTTTTTAAAGTGAATTAGTCCTGATTTCATGCAGGTCTCAACGTCAAAAAAGCAAAAACAAAAAAGCACAATTGCTGAGTGTAAGAAATGTGATTCAGAAAATCCATTTTTAAATCTGCTTACAATGGTTATCAATCACCTTGTTACAAATGCAGGCAGTTTCATTAAGAATAAAGTTGACGATGGCATCTAAAAACCAGTATGAGGTGAATCCCCCCTTGTAGCCATTGAATTTCAAAGGGCAAGCTTTTAATTGAAATTAATTTCAATAAATAGGAAAACTGGATTTATGAAATCCACACAGTTTAAAAAACATTCTAATCTAAGGTTTAGTAGAAGTTGGCCAAGTGTTTCCTTTTTGGTTTAGATATTCGATTCTGTATTGTTATAGCCTTAAAATTAGGAAAAATTATTTTCCTAATTTGAAAGTATGTATCTTTGACCACTGTATAACTGGACGCCTAACCATCTGACAGCTGATTGGCCGCTGTGACCTCTCTCTACTCCTCTCATACGCTAAATACCATTGATATGTGTTACTGGATAGGACATCACCACAGCACACAGTAGAGCTCAATAAACAAGTATAAGTATAATAATACTGACTTTAATATAGTTAAAATTGAAAACTTGAAAAACTTGCCAAAGTTGACAGGCATTCCATAAAGAGTAGTAAAGTTTAAAATCCTAAATTTAATCATTTCACCTGTTGAAAAAGAGGTTCAATCAAATTATATGACACAAAGTTTCAACATTCATTGTTGGTCATGTATTAGTGGGGTTCATAAAGGGTTTACAGAATTTCAATTCCTCAATATTTTGGCTTTAGATATGTTTTTAATCTAGCAGTGATGCTAGGACATGACAAAGTTTAGATTTCTTGTATCTAGTGTTTATGTCTTACCTTCTCCAATACAACGACTGTTAATTTACAATAGTCTATGTAACGATTTTGGTTCTGTTGGTTTTCTCCAAGTTTTTAGTTTCACGTTTATCCACGTCTTACTTTGTCTCACCCTGGCTCCTTGTGATTGTTTTCCCCTGATGTCTCCATAGTTCTGGTTTGTGTTTAATTCAGTCAGGGATTGTCTGGAGGTTTTTGTGAGGACCCACATGCAGAGGCTGAGAGGCAGGGGTGAGTTCTTGGGAGATTTAATGAACAATCACAGGCAGCATCAGGGGAAAACAATCACAAGGAGCCAGGGTGAGACAAAGTAAGACGTGGATAAGCGTGAAAATGAAAACTTAGAGAAAACCAACAGAACCAAGATCACTACAGTCTAATGCAGAGACACAGTGCCGCCAGTGTCCAGTGGGGTTGCCAACTCCCTGAAAAAAAGGGACCCCTCATATGCGTGCCAGCTGACCTGATTGCCTTTACCCCTCCTGGCCTGGTGATTTTCTTTTAGCCCCCCTTTGTGTGTGAAATAATTTTCTAACAATTTGACTCAAATCTGCATTGAATTAGATGCATATTTGTGAGTGACATGAACACATGGAAAACAAATTATTTCCCAGCAATTCACTTTAGTAGAAAATAAACTTTGCTGGATAAAATAAGTATCTTAAACATAAGCCTGTCCTGCTTAACTTCAAACTGTAACAATGAATATAAAACAACACATAAATAGTGTGCATTTTGGGTGCAAGAGCAAAGTTGTGCAAATTTGTAAACATATATGTGCCTTAAATTCAATGACTGTAGGCTACGGTTGTAAAACACAAGTGGAAAAAGTAGGCTATCGCCACATAGCCTACTTTTTCCAGTTGTGTTTCCTCTCAGCTGAGTGAGGACTTGTCCGCCCCCAAAAGCAGCGTCAGCATTTAAATTACTCTGTTTTCCCCCCATACTGCTATGTTGTCTCCCACTATCTTCTCTGTGAGCAACACTTGGCTCGACCAATGGGATGAGGGTATTCTGGATTGTTACATATATGTTGTCAGCTCATTGGTCACAACGCAGGACAGGACCCGGGAACAAATTTACCGTAAGTTTTGTATTTAAAGTGCCCTTGTTCTTCATTTTACATTAGCTATTTACTGACTATTTTTTACTCTCACAGTAATACGGGACAAAGTGCGTTCCTTTTCCACTAAATACGGGAGAGGTACTTCTATTTCTAAATATAGAACGATTCTGTTTTTGAAGGGACGTTTGGCAACCCTAGTGCGCAGTTCGCCTCTGAAGGAAGGACTCAGAGAAAACCCTCTTTTCTTAGCCTGTAGTTTAGGAATTTCAGAATCAAGGCCAGAAACCAACAAACTGTGATGTAATAATCACAACTAGCCACCTTGAGCTAATAAAGACAACTGACAGCATCTTTGTTGTTATACCTGTCAGCACTATATTACACAGTTCCCACAGTATAGATTTACATTTAAAGAAAGTACTTCTAGGTATCATATTATCTGCCAATTTCCCAGCTTTAATGAAGCCATATTTTATAAAAATCAAAATTTTTTGTTGCAGATCCATCCTTTTCCCCAATATAACAGCATAGAGGACATTACTTGATGTATAGGATTGACACATGGTGTGCCTGGAACTACCTATATCAGCTAATAGGGGAGGTTCTTTCCTTATATCAATGATAAGCCTCACTCCCAGCTGCAATTTTAACCACACTTGACAGGAAGGCAGAAAAGGTAAATTAGTCAGCAATCTGTGTTTTGTTAAGAACTGCGTAAAAAGCTGTGAATTTTTTTTTTTTTTAGATTTTTGATCCACTAGAATTTTCTGGGTCAATGGAACCAACTTCCTGTTTTGTTTCATTTCTTCATGGTTTTCAGTGTAAGACTAAATAAAGCTTTAATTCTGAACTTTTGAAGCTTGGGGTTCATTGACATAATAGAGATACTTAGATTCAAAAGGATAAATCTAGCAAATACCAGAACCAGAACAAACTAGAGATTATGTTGGTTATCTTCCTAACAGTTTATTTTTTGTCTTTATGCTTTAGTCTGTAATTATGTTATTTCAAATCTATGGTTATCGGTTTTGGTCTGCTTTGGTTTCACTTCTTATTCATTGTTCAGTTTCTGATCCTGGTTCCAGTCCTGGTTTTGGTGGATATATTAGTGAAATGTAAATATAATAGAACATTTTGAACGTTTTGTAAGTTTTCTGTAAATTTCATCAGAGTATTTATTTAGCCTTGAAAATAATGCTGGTGGTATTTCATATTTGTGTGTTTTTATTTGTCTCTTATTTTGGTAAATAGGGTGAAGCCCTGCCCTAATCCTTTACCGAAATAAACTATAACCTGACAAACTATGGATTTCTAACATTTTCTCAAGTTGTAAATTGATCTTAAACACACTGTCTTGAACTGCATGTCATCCAAAGTGCTTTAGAGGAAGTGGTAGCTGTGAAATTTTGTTTCCAGAAAAAGTTCTGGAAAAAGTAGTTTTTCTTAGAACAAAAAAACTTACTAACGCTATTGCAAAACAATTCCCATGTTGCCTCAAAGACGGATTATCTGTGTTTTTGTTCTGTTTACCCTATATTCACATCTGTTGATGATATTTTACTCTCTGTAGGAGGGAACTTCCCAAACATTTTTACTTCTGTTTGATGGGAAAATGTTCAATAAACTGCATTAAAATGTCAGCCGGATTTTGTGCTTTATTTTCAAATCTTAAAAAAAAAAAAGAAAGTGAACATTTATTGTTCTAGCAGGCACTGTGAGGAAGTGTGAGCAGGCTTTGCAGAGCACAATTAAACGCTCAGTAAAGGCTTAAAACCGCTAACCCAGGCCTGAAGAGTCTGAGATGGAGTTCTTGGCCTGTTTAGTCATTTATATACAAACCAAGAAGGACCTTAGATAGAGAATCCCTTTCAGTAACCTAAAGAGGAAGCCCCAGAGAACACACAAAATGTTGCAGCAAATTCAAAATCCAGCTAAGACAATTATTGTTTAACCGCACCCCGTTTTGGGCTGAAAGGGGTTAATGCTCTGATAAATCCAGCTTATCTTAAAGTCTCCAATCATTTCTACGTCCCTCAGGGAGCAATGAATCAGCGATGTATCTCCCCCCCCCGGTGTCAAATGCAAACCTCAGGGGTTTAACAGATGGGTCCACTGAGGTGAAGTCATTTGTTTTACAGAAAGAAGAGGAACGGAGAGCGAACACAAACCTGGGGGCACCAGTGCCTGAGGTTCTGAGAAAGATAGTAATAATAATGCATTTTATTTGCAATGTACTTTACATTACAGAAAAATAGCAAAATGCTACAGGTAAAATCATTCTAGAAAGATAAAGCAAAACATCAATGTAAAATACATATGAATAAATAAGTTGGTGGCATAATTATAAAAGGTTAAGTCATAGGTTCTGCTAAAAAGAAATGTTTTAACCCTTTTTTTAAAGTCTGGATAGTCTGCGGTTCCCTCAGATAATCAATTCAGTTTATTTCCATAGCCCCGATTCACAACACACGTCATCTAAAGGCTCTTTACAGTTCAACCAGATCATAGAGTCAAATTGATTCAAAGTTTTCTATCTAAGGAAAACCAGTTGATTGCATCGACTCATTGACTCGAATGCAATCCCTCACACTAAGCATGCTTGTAGCGACAGTGGAGAGGAAAAACTCCCTTTTAACAGGATCAAACCTCCAGCAGAACCAGGCTCAGTGTGAGCGGCCATCTGCCGAGACCGACTGGAGTTCAAGGAGACCAAATCAGAGACGCAGAAAGCAGCAGCTATAAAAGGCAGCCACCGTCCAGGAAACACACAGCCAGGCAGACGAGCTCTGAGCCGACTCCCATGTCAGAGGAGGAGAGGGCATTCCAGGTCTGAGGAGCATCCAAGCAGGAGGCACGGTCGTCCATAGTGCTTAGTTTAGTCTTGGGGAGGAGGAGGTGGTTTGAGTGTTTTGAGCAGCTGGATCATGTAGTGAGAGGAGTCAGTGAAATGAGAGGAGAAAGGGTGCACTGCAAAAAATCGAAATATAAATAAGTGCATTTGTTCTTGTATTGAGGAGGTAACTGTGACACTTTGCCAATGGAACAAGACAATTTACACTTAGAATAAGAAAAAACAAATTGCAGTCTTATTTCAAGTGAATACTATCTAAAACACTAATTCCATTGGCAAATCATCATATTTACCTTCTTAAATAAAGAGTAAATACCCTTAATTTAAGACACTTTCACTTATTTTTTCATTTTTGCAGTGTGCGATCAGGGAGTCAGTGAAGTGAGTGAAGAATGGGAGGAATAGTGGTTGTACTTTTCGGACTCTCATTAGGATCTTTGCAGCACTGACGCTTCCTAACCTCACCTGCTGTA